ATCCAGACACAGGCAACTGCTGCAGCTGCTATTTTTGGAGGAAGCCAGACCCCTGCCCCTGTGAGCCTGGTGTGCCAGTTACAGAGGTTAATCAGACAGTGTCGACTCCAGCGCAGATGAGAACGACAAGGCCACCAGCACCAGACACCCTGGTGGGGCTCCATGGAACTCCTCCAGCCTAACAGAGTTAGTTACTTCTGTTCAGCATCACATCTCCACTTCCTAGGTGATGCTGTTGCTGGCAGCAATCTTCTTCCTGAGGAAGCCAGTTCCAGTGGGAAGCATTTTTAGCCACGCTCCAGTAACAGAGGTGTCACACACAGCTGAGCTGTTTTGAGGAGAGGGGGGACTGAAATCTCTCACAGTCCCAAGGGCTGGCCTGCCTTTCAGCAGCTGTAAATGTAGTTAAAAATATAGATGACTTCCACCCCTCCCTCAGTAAAAGGAAGCAAGAGAAAGGGAGCCAGGATAAAATACTCTCACAGTCCCCTTGAGTCAAGCAAACCAGAGCATCCTGCTCAGGCTGCAGTTGCCATGAAGAGGAACGTTACTACTGCAGAGTGTTCCCAGGATCCACACTGCTGGATAATACCCAAGAGACAGGACTGTACTTCCCTTTTCCCGAAGTTTGAATCCAAAAGCCAGGCAGCTGGAGGTCCAGCTCTGCTCAGGAAATACAGCCCAGCAGTGCTAAGGGCTGCTGGAACCCAGCCCTCTTTCTCCATCCCTGAATTCAATTACCATTTCCCTGCCAACACTGACTAACAACATTTAAAACCCACCAGCACCAGCCAGGGCTGCACAGCTCTCACAAAAGCAAACTTCCACATCAAGATATGCTACAGGTAGAGCATGTGATAAACTATAAAATGCCAGAAACCACCTCCCTCCAAGCCAATTCCATGGCATTGGGATACATTGTCTTAGCCCAAAGGGCAAGCTGCAATGAATAGACCTATTCTCATGCTAAGAGACCCAGAAAAGAACAGGCTGAACAGCAGAAGTCCTGTGTGATGAACTGCACAAAGGCTGCCATTGAGGGGAGGTATAGGTGCAGGCTGTAATCTGATACAAGGCCCACAGAATAAATAGAAAACTCCCAAGAACCTGAACAGTCTGGAAGGAATGTAGATCAAGAGCCCTGTGTGGTCCCCTCCCTCAGTGCTGGCACTGGGTGCAGGAAGCCCTTGGTCTCTCCTGGGCATCCCTGGTAACAGAAAACACCAACTCTCCTTCCAGGGACCATTATTTCATGGTCAGTACATGAAACGAGCTCCTCCCTTACCTTCAGGATCTTGTGCTGGGAACTGAGGGCTCCATATCTGTTCATAGAGTCTTGCTGGAAAGAAAAAGATTCAACAGTGTTGTTAAATCCCAGAAAAACCTAAAGCTGGGAGAAACACACCCAGCCACTGCCCCAGCAGCCAGATCCCACCACCCCTTCCCACAAAGGCACACTCATGGTGACTGGGAGCAAGCCCACCAAGGTGACCAGCAGAACATGCAGCCTGAGCATGGCTGGACAGGAACCTTTTCAAAACAACCCAGCCACCAGCTCACTAGTTGCACTCACAATTCACATCCAGAATAGTTTTCCTCTAATTTTCAGCTCTTTTATCTAGGTTGGGTCCAGCACTAGAAGAGCTTTGCACAGTAAAGGTTGGATTGGATGATATTACAGGTCTTTTCCAACCTAAATAATTATTCTATGATTCTAACACCCCCCCCACCCCGAGCAGCTGAGCTCTGCAGCAGCTGAGGGGGAGGCACACAGCACCAGAGCTGAGGCTTTCACCTACACACAAAAACTGCACCATTTAATAAAAAAAATGATCACTGAGCAATTGAGTAAGTCTACAGCAACCCCTGGAACTAGGTACAGCCACCAGCTGACACCAACTGCAGCAGAGAGGGATTCATGTGTGTCCACAGAGGGGCCTGTACCTGTTTAACACTCCTGCTCATGCCTCAGTAAGGGTCACCCTTTGTTCCCAGGGTGCCATTTTTCACTGCAGCACCAGCAGGTAGCAAAGCCACCAGCCACGCATGCTTTAAGGCTGAGTCCCTGCATCAGGAGTGGCCCCAAGGAGGGGACATGCTGCAGCTTGTCCCATTACCTGCAGTTTCACAAACACCTGCCTAGGTAGCTTCAAGCAGCACAGCTGAGACCAAAGCAGCACCCTGGAAGTGCCAACTAAGCACCAAGACTTCCACTACACCCCACAGTGTAACTTCTATGATAAGGACTCAGGAGGGGATGAAGTATTAACCAGCCAAGGAGCACAAATGTCAGGGGAGCTGCCCAGCCACTAGTGTTCAGACATTCACCCAGGAGCTTTTTCCTGTATCAGGATGACACACGCACAGATGAACTGGATAAGCGCAATTCCTCTTCTCCAGCATTTCACCAACAGATGCTCTGAGTAAGGAATAAAACCAGTCTTATAACTTTGGGTGGGTGGGACAGACTAATCCAGGATTCTTCCTAACCCTCACTGAAGGGTCCATTCTCCACCAAATGAGAAGTCAGAAGCCTTGACATTTTCCACCTGATGGCTTAACTGCCAATACTGTTCTTGTCCAAATGTGTTCCTGCCCATGCCCCCTTCTTCACTAATTTCTGCATCAGCATCAATCCTTTGTTTAACCAAAAACATTCTGCTTTGTTCTCTGTGCTACCAGTAAACGGCACAAGGCAAACTCCAGTGAGGCCAGCTAACAAGGAGGGACATTTGAGTGCCTGTCTTGCACAGGCTTTTCACATCCCAGGCTGAGCAGCAGTGGAGCTCAGGCTTTGGGACACAGCCAGGTCACATCACTTCAGCTGCAGAAATGGGGACAAGACAGTTTCTCACCAGAGGGCCCAATGAAGCCCATCACTTATCCTGGTGTGCACAAGGCCCTGCAGAGCATGTACCCAAGCAGGAACATGTCACACAGTCCTGGACCTGGACAGTACTGAGCAGAGGATTCAAACCACATCCTCTGAACACACTTCGCTTCAACTTGACACTCACAGGCAAGTGGAAATCATTAGACAATCCTTGGAGACAGAAAACAATAGATATGCTTTCCCCAACACTACCAAGGCCTTTCTTCTCCAGGTCCCCTGTGGTGTGCCTTGCATTCAGTCTCCCCAGGTCTCTTCTATACCACGAAGCAGCAATTTTCTTTTCTGACTGTAGCACAGGACAAGCAAGTCATCCACCACACATGGGAGAGGAGGCAGAACAGCTCCAGCACTACACAGTCTTGCCCTAAGATGTATCCTCACAAACCAACAGCCTTGCAAGGTGGAGTCAGGCAAAGTTCATCTTGTACCATACACACTCATGGTCTTTCATGCCTTCCAGCCAGCAGCTCATGACTCTGGTGGTGCTGGAAAGGTCTGTATCATTGTTACACACACACACACACTAGGAACTAGCGATACATACCTTCTCCTTGTTGAGAGCTTCCTGAGCTTCTAATTTATACACTAAAAAATCTAGACATGGAAGAAGAAAAGACAATTTAATGAGCTGGAATTTAACAAGGATCTGGTTTATATTTTGGGGAGGGGGGAAGGAGGAAATCAGCCCCTTGATGAGCAAAAGGCTGCAACTCAACAAGCTGGAATGCAGATGCTGCTAAGGGATTCCACTCAGTGCCTTCAGAAAGGTGGAAGTGTTTTCCATGAGCACTGTCCACCCATCTAGACTGGCCCAAATGTCCTTCCCTTCCCATTCTATAGGAAAGTGCATTGATTACTTCCTACTTCAGCACACAGATGGCTACATCTTCATGTCACTGAAAGTGTGTAAGAATGGCCTGGTGTCAGGTTTAGCTATCACTTAAAGTGCTCAAATGGCATGTCATGGGTACTGCTACTCACAGATTAGGCTGAGGACATGTAAGAACATGAAAGAACAGAACCCACCTCCCAGCACCTTTTGCCCATGGGAAGTGGGCAACTCAGTTAACTCTCCTCTAAGTACAAACCAGGGATGGAGCAGTTGGTGTCACCCACACGTGGCCCTGAAGGCAGAAAATACTTAGGGTACAACACAAACTTCTCCCCCAGGACAGCAGGAGGGCTGTCTGGCCACCACTGTGTCACCATGCAGGAGACTCACCCTCCTTTGTCTTCTTGTGCTCCCCTCGCTCCTTCTGCAGGGATCGCTCCAGCCGGGACCTGTGCTCATACACCACTAGGGAGGCAGAGAGAGACAGAGATGAGGGAAACCCTGATACCTCTTCCCACATGTTCTTCTCCCCAGAATAGGCCTCTTTCTGGACATGTAACCAGGGGCACCTGTGGGACCCCAAGCCCAGCCATGGATGGGCCAGCAAGGGTCCAAGAGAGCAGATGTGGGCAGAAGAGCCTTTTTTGGTTTGCAAAGCCTGCACCACTCTGGGTTTGCAGGCTTAGGACACAGCAGCTTTCATGTAAAAATCCAGATCAAGCAAATTAACAGCCCCAAAATACATACAGATACCTGCTGTCCTGAACACTGAGAGGGTCAGGCCCTGCTACAAGCTGCTTGCACCTCCAAGGGCTGGAGCAGGGTGGGGACAGCTGGGTGAGAGACAAGGGATTTTCCTGATACAACACACCAGCCTGTCATTCTCTGAGTATTTGCACTCAGGCTTTGATTTGGAGCCTCTGCTGCAGGTGCCAAGAGCTGGCTTTGGTGGCCAGTGGCTACTCTGTGCATTTGCAGACCAAGTCCATTACCAGCCTTCCAGGTCACCTGTTCTCTAAAGGCATCAGCAAGACACAGGAGAGACATTTTCTCCCCTTCCACAACCCAACCATTAACTGCCCCTCAGGCCACTAAGAAGTGAGACAAGCAGCTCCCTCTCCCCTGGCATACAAAAGAGCATCTGTGCTCTGCACAGGAGATGGGAGGGAGAGGGATGAGGCTGCTTCGTGCAGCAGCCACATGACACATCCAAGTGCCAGAGAGGCTTCCTGATGGATGGTGATTTTAATCCACTCTGATGCCTGAATGCTAACCAAGAGCTTCCCTGAGTCACAGGATCCAGCTGCAACAGGCTCCCCAGGCCCCTCTGCACAGGGATGAGCACTGGGTGGCAATTCAGAAGGGAGAGACAAGAAAAGGAACTTGCTTCCAGAGCCCAGATTTTTGGGGGCAAGTTTTGCCCTAACACACAATCTCCAGGAAAGTGGACGAAGTGGGATGATATTTGAATCCTAAGGGTACAATTCAATTGCAGCACAACTGTTTCTGAAGTCCCCTGGGGGCACAAGACCACCCAGCCAGGTGGAGAAGCAGCCTCTGTACTGAGGGCATTAAGGCACAAACTGAATCCAAACATCTCTTTATCCCATTGTCCCCTATGGAGCAACTTCAGGGCCTCCAGGCACTAAGTCCTCCTGTACTGGAATGAAGGATGAGACAGACAAGTTGCCTATTCTCATACTAGGCTGGTTTTAGACACTGCAGGTCCAAGGACTATGTTAGAGGCTCTGCCAGCCTGGGCTCATCACGTGCCAGGCTCAGTCCCCCTCCAGACTGAGGAGCCACATATTCACATTCAAGCTGCTTCTCCCAACCCACCTATTTGCCTGTGTCACTTCTGGCCTCCCTCAGGGAGCAGGAAGAGCCAGTGGCCTATGTCAGGAATTCTGATTGTTACCAGCTATGCTATCTCCTTCCTTCTCTTTGCTACCTTCTCTACTTAACAAAACAGACATCTCAGTTGTGAAGATGCTTCCCCTGGGCTGGGTACTTTATTAATGTTTTCCTTTGAAGTGAGGAAACCACCTTCTTCTCCAAACCATTACAGCAGAAATGTTTGTTTTCAATCTGGAAGGGTTTTTTTCCATTGCTGAGCACACTGGCAAGCAGCAAGCCCATCACTGCAGCTGTCCAAGTGTCTACTTCATAACAGTTTTATTTTTAGAAACACTTTTCCCAAACGACTGCTCAGATGTCACCCTGAGGGCTTCCCCAGCCCAGCTAAGCACATAAGAGACTGTGGGTGCTTCTTCACTACATGCTAAAAAGCCCTGTTGAACAAAATTGTCATCTTAAGAACATCAACCACTTCCCACAAGATTTGTGAGCTCCAGGCACTCATGTTTCTGCCACAAGCATCTCATTTTCTTGCAGTCTTATCTAGCAGAGCACCTGAGGACAAGTCTTTGATGTGATGGGTATCTCACCCCAGCAAAGCAAAGTCCTGGTTGCTGGGACTATCATGGATGCCCAGCAGCCCTGGGCTATTGATCCCACATAGTAAATGTGAACCTAAAGCAGAGGGAAGCATCTATAGCAACAAACAGGCTTGTGCTGACACCCAGAACCACACATCTCAACACAAGCAACTGAGTCTTCAGGAACAGCTCCATATCATAGGCTGTTTATTCAGAAATTTAGCACAAAATCTGACTCTCCTGACAATCTTTTTTTCATAACATAACCTGAAGTGACCTCCAGTGACTAGAAAAAAAAAGTTGTAATCTCTCCTGCCATTCCTCCAGGTCTCCAGAGCCCAGAAAAGGTGGGTTCAGCTTTACACAAAGCAGTGAGGAAGTGCTGCATCAAACACTCTCTCTACTTATCTTTGTGGTGGAATGCAGCATCAACTTACTGGACCAAAATGGCACTGTAGAGCTGCAGAGGACAGGAAGCCAGGAAGTCTTTAACAATTTGCAATTACAAGAGAGAATGGAAGGTGGTCAGTGTTTAAATCCAGGCTGGAATTCAGCAGGCACTCAGCACTACAGCACTGTGAGGCCCTGCTACAAGCTGCTTGCAACTCCAAGGGCTGGAGCAGGGTGGGGACAGCTGGGTGAGAGACAAGGGATATTCCTGATACAACACACCAGCCTGTCATTCTCTGAGTATTTGCACTCAGGCTTTGATTTGGAGCCTCTGCTGCAGGTGCCAAGAGCTGGCTTTGGTGGCCAGTGGCTACTCTGTGCATTTGCAGACCAAGTCCATTACCAGCCTTCCAGGTCACCTGTTCTCTAAAGGCATCAGCAAGACACAGGAGAGACATTTTCTTCCCTTCCACAACCCAACCATTAACTGCCCCTCAGGCCACTAAGAAGTGAGACAAGCAGCTCCCTCTCCCCTGGCATACAAAAGAGCATCTGTGCTCTGCACAGGAGATGGGAGGGAGAGGGATGAGGCTGCTTCGTGCAGCAGCCACATGACACATCCAAGTGCCAGAGAGGCTTCCTGATGGATGGTGATTTTAATCCACTCTGATGCCTGAATGCTAACCAAGAGCTTCCCTGAGTCACAGGATCCAGCTGCAACAGGCTCCCCAGGCCCCTCTGCACAGGGATGAGCACTGGGTGGCAATTCAGAAGGGAGAGACAAGAAAAGGAACTTGCTTCCAGAGCCCAGATTTTTGGGGGCAAGTTTTGCCCTAACACACAATCTCCAGGAAAGTGGACGAAGTGGGATGATATTTGAATCCTAAGGGTACAATTCAATTGCAGCACAACTGTTTCTGAAGTCCCCTGGGGGCACAAGACCACCCAGCCAGGTGGAGAAGCAGCCTCTGTACTGAGGGCATTAAGGCACAAACTGAATCCAAACATCTCTTTATCCCATTGTCCCCTATGGAGCAACTTCAGGGCCTCCAGGCACTAAGTCCTCCTGTACTGGAATGAAGGATGAGACAGACAAGTTGCCTATTCTCATACTAGGCTGGTTTTAGACACTGCAGGTCCAAGGACTATGTTAGAGGCTCTGCCAGCCTGGGCTCATCACGTGCCAGGCTCAGTCCCCCTCCAGACTGAGGAGCCACATATTCACATTCAAGCTGCTTCTCCCAACCCACCTATTTGCCTGTGTCACTTCTGGCCTCCCTCAGGGAGCAGGAAGAGCCAGTGGCCTATGTCAGGAATTCTGATTGTTACCAGCTATGCTATCTCCTTCCTTCTCTTTGCTACCTTCTCTACTTAACAAAACAGACATCTCAGTTGTGAAGATGCTTCCCCTGGGCTGGGCACTTTATTAATGTTTTCCTTTGAAGTGAGGAAACCACCTTCTTCTCCAAACCATTACAGCAGAAATGTTTGTTTTCAATCTGGAAGGGTTTTTTTCCATTGCTGAGCACACTGGCAAGCAGCAAGCCCATCACTGCAGCTGTCCAAGTGTCTACTTCATAACAGTTTTATTTTTAGAAACACTTTTCCCAAACGACTGCTCAGATGTCACCCTGAGGGCTTCCCCAGCCCAGCTAAGCACATAAGAGACTGTGGGTGCTTCTTCACTACATGCTAAAAAGCCCTGTTGAACAAAATTGTCATCTTAAGAACATCAACCACTTCCCACAAGATTTGTGAGCTCCAGGCACTCATGTTTCTGCCACAAGCATCTCATTTTCTTGCAGTCTTATCTAGCAGAGCACCTGAGGACAAGTCTTTGATGTGATGGGTATCTCACCCCAGCAAAGCAAAGTCCTGGTTGCTGGGACTATCATGGATGCCCAGCAGCCCTGGGCTATTGATCCCACATAGTAAATGTGAACCTAAAGCAGAGGGAAGCATCTATAGCAACAAACAGGCTTGTGCTGACACCCAGAACCACACATCTCAACACAAGCAACTGAGTCTTCAGGAACAGCTCCATATCATAGGCTGTTTATTCAGAAATTTAGCACAAAATCTGACTCTCCTGACAATCTTTTTTTCATAACATAACCTGAAGTGACCTCCAGTGACTAGAAAAAAAAAGTTGTAATCTCTCCTGCCATTCCTCCAGGTCTCCAGAGCCCAGAAAAGGTGGGTTCAGCTTTACACAAAGCAGTGAGGAAGTGCTGCATCAAACACTCTCTCTACTTATCTTTGTGGTGGAATGCAGCATCAACTTACTGGACCAAAATGGCACTGTAGAGCTGCAGAGGACAGGAAGCCAGGAAGTCTTTAACAATTTGCAATTACAAGAGAGAATGGAAGGTGGTCAGTGTTTAAATCCAGACT